GTTATTTCACGATGAGAAAAGAAATATCGCAATTTTCGCGTCTGCACTGTGAGACCGCACGTACGCAATTCTAATTCTAACACACAGCGGGGACGATGCGGGGAAATCGCGCGAGCGTTTCCCATTTATTTCCCCGCGGCAGCGGGGAATGTGACGAAATGGGAGTGCGCGTATCGCGGTGCCGATTGCACGGTGGTGGACGTTGATATGAAATCGCGCGCGCGCGCGCGCGCGGTCTCTGTTCATTTCGAGTTTATCACGACCGCTCGCGCTAAGCTCGACAAGCTCGACAAGCTCGCATTTTCCACGGCATCTATCTTCGTCACGCGTGTCCACGGCTCGATTAGAGCGGCGTTTCGATCGTAACACATTGTCGCGAGCGAGCGAGCGAGCGAGCGAGCGTTGCACGCGACGACGTGGTGGCAGGCAGGTTCACCTTGAAGAAGAAGAAGAAGAAGGAGGAGAAGAGGAAGAAGAGGAGGAAGAAGAAGAAGAAGGGGGACCGCCATGCTCCCCTGCACTCCCGACTCGCGACCCTGTGTGTCTCCGTTAGTTTCTGTCCGCTTCAAGGTCGTAGGCGCGATCGCATTATTCTCTGTCGTTTTTCGTGCTTCCCGGTCCTCGAGGTGGTTTATGCCATCGACTAAGCCGCGTTGCGTGCCGTGCACGAGCTTGCAACCCCGAAGCGAACTACCACCACTCCCGATAGCTCTCTCTCGCTCTCTACCCTGTTGTCTCTAAACATACGTATATCCCCGTGACAATTGAATGCGGAAAGTCTCAAGGTCGGGGCTACAATGAAATCCAAGAATCCAAAGCGCAAGGTGCCTGAGATGGCGCAGGCTAATTTGCAAATACGATAACAAACTTTAACTTTAAAAGGTAATTTCCTGTCGCGGGTTGAATGAAAGGAAAAAGAAAAAGAAGGAAAAGGAGAAAAATGCAGAATATCCATGTGTGTCCGAGTAGTTGAGTAGTAATCTGCCTTGACCTTGACAACCTTCCGGACAGGCGTATTTCCGCCGTCGTTGCGATAACGTGTAGCGTGTTGTTCGACGGCAAGACGTACGACGCACAACACGTCGGATTTTACGGGGATTTTTTTAAGGTCCTTCGTTAAGATTCACGCCAACACCGCCGCGCATGAGTTTCGGGCAAATTCGACTCGTACGTGCGCCGAATCGTGCTTTGATTACTCGTATTATTCATCAAAGACGCGGACGGGGAGAAGCAAGCCGCGAGCGGAGCTCGCTTATTGATTCATGGTAGGGCGCACACGGCAAATCCAGTTTCGGTTGTTTATGATATTTCTTCGCCGATAGTTATGCCTCTCGAGGTACAAATTACGTGTCCCCGAATACGAGGCGACGGCGACGGCGACGGCGACGGCGGCTGCGGTGGCTCAAGGAGAGACACTCTCAGGTGTCTTTTATTGAAAATCCCGGCGAAAACATATTTTTCCGTTCTTTTTATGAGCGCACGACATACTGAACTTTCGGAGGTGGCCCCAAAAGTCCAGCAATGTGGAAAACTTTTCGCGTTATCATTGGGAGACAAATGGAGGATGAAATTAAATTCCTGCTCTGCCATCGAGCCAACACACCCATCATGAGGTTACGGCATGTTCGGCTGTATCGCGTAATTAATGTCTGTCGATATCCCTGGATAGATATTGCTCCGTGCTTTTTACGCTACAAAAACACGCTATAAAGACGATGACAACTCGCGATTCCCTCGCGAGCGAACGAGAAGATTCTGTACGTAGACGGTGATTTGATTGTAAATATCCTTCACTCACCTCGAGCCTCTCGAGCCTAGATTTTGTAATCTGTTAGCAAGCCGCCCGCTATCAAAGTGAAATACGCAAAAGGAAATACATAAGGAGTAGTAAGTGAGAGAGAAGGGCGCGTGTTAGAGATGTTAAGAGAGCAATTCGAAGCGATAGCACCGCTGGGACACGTCGGATCGCCGGCAAGCCATTCTCGTTCGGAATTGTTGCGGCGGCGGCGGTACAATTGCGATTGCGGCCGAAATTGCTCCTGGGGAGGAATATCGATCGGATCGGCCGCTCCCACACAGAGCGCGGAAATAAGTTCAGGGGAGAGAGAGAGAGAGAGAGAGAGAGAGAGAGAGAGAGAGAGTGCGGCGTCATGCTCCGGGAATAAAGAGGGCCTCGCGCGCGCGCGCGAACGTAGATTCGTTCTCGGCGTCTGGCGTCGTAACGAGCGCCCCGAAGCTCATAAATCGGCGACGCGACGGACCGATCGATGAAAATTTCCTTATTCGAAACGGGACTCTTGTAAGGCGCGTAACGAAGCGCAACGGGGTAAGGAGGAAGCTCTCTCTCTCTCTCTCTCCCTCTCTCTCTCTCTCTCTCTCTCTCTCTCTCTCTCTCTCTCTCGATCGCTCTCGGCTCGGGGGGGGGGGGGGGGACGAAAACGATCGCTGTTTACGGACTCTTGCGCGTAGCCCTCGGTCGCGCAGGTTTCCGGGACACCCGGTTGTTTATTCGAGCGTGTTGCAAGCTCGCTCGCGATCGTATGGATTTCGCAACGCTTGCCAGATACCGTGGTGCCGTGGTGAAATCAGGTGAACCCGAATCGGGAAATGCCAGCCGCTGGACGCGATATCAATATCGACCCTTGGACGTGCGAGATATTTTTCCGCGCGCGCGCGCGGAAACAAAGTTTCCATGAAACAAAAACGCGACTCTGACGGCAGCCGCTTCGCGCGGGATATTAAAAATTTCAAGGGTTAATATGAGAAACTTTCGAAGCGTAAGTTGTGTAACACCGGAGGCCCGACTCCGCGGCACAACGTTCGCACAGATTTATAGGCCCAGCGAATTTTAATTTCGTAAAGGCGCATCTTCGCGGTATTACCGCATCGTATTTCACATGTACGTCGTAATTGACACAGTTGACTGTGCCAGCGAATCTTGTAAATGCCTGCCCACCTTGACTTACCGCTACTTATTAAATATATGACCCGATTGTGCTCACAGGAGGAAAATGGATGTACGTGTCGCTCTGGTGAATTTTTATTGTTTGTCAATTTGTTTTTCTCACGGGTTGCTCCAGCAGTTGCCCGCGTTATATTTCGCATTATTTCCAGCGTGTCAGGGGTAGAAAGAAAGCGGCTCGCTTCAAAACGTCGATGACGAATCGCATCCTCGGCCGAGTCGCGAGGAAGAAGAAAGTACAATAAATAAGAAATCGGAGAACGTTTTTCGCCGCCTAAGTTTATAATATCTATGAATCACGTCGAGCAGAGGCTCGCGGTGCAGATCCGACGGCTCGATGGTTGTTTGTCGATCTTTCGTCCGTCAGTCTCTGACGTTACCCCACTGGACATGGCTGTTTACTCAAACGCGGTTTCGACAAAATCCAGTCGTAATCAAAAGCCAATCGCGTCCCAAAGATGTTACTTGGGATTGAAACAATAGACGCACTGCCGAAGATGTATACTGCACGACGCGCTTGAATTGACTTTCTTTCCAACAACAGACGAAATAAATCAAGCTCAAGTTGTTGTCAAAAACCTTCTCCCAGCCAGCGCGGATAAGAAGAAGCGCGAGAGACATTTTGTATACAAAAGAGGCAATTTGTCGGTCGAATTCGTTTGAGAAAACAAACGTCGAGAATGAAAGAACGGAACTCTAGGAGAGCCGAAGGAGCAGACACTCTTCAAGCAGGCTCTCCTCGATGACGATCTGACTTGAGAAAGAAAAAGTAAAAAATGTTTGAACGTTGCTCGCACTTTGTTTTTCTATCGATGTTTGTATCAATCTTATGTTCGTCGTTTATATATCTCGAAGGGTAAGAAAATGCAAAAGAGTTGAAAAATGGTCAAAGATGATGTACGTACAAGACACTTCAATTTTCTCAACAGTCGTCGACAGAGAGAGAGAGAGAGAGAGAGAGAGAGAGAGAGAGAGAGGAGAGAGAGAGAGAGAGAGAGAGAGAGAGAGAGAGAGAGAGAGAGAGAGGGAGGGAGAGAGAGAGAGAGAGGGAGAGAGCGCATCGTTTTTTTTTCCCTCTATGAATCGTTTGCACTCGCAAAATGCAACCGATTCATAGAGGAAGCGTTAACTTTGTCACTTTTTGTGTGTCTCGAAACAGCCTTCGGTACAAACGAGCAGAGAAGTGAGAAAGCGATACAAACGATATAACGAGGTGCATGAATGCAAATCACGCTCAGAACTTTTCTTCTTCGTTCAAGTCGTCCGATTCGCGTTGCTTTGTATCTCTTGTCGCAATACTTATATAGAGTCATATTTAAAGTAATTGGTACCGCGAGAATGTAGGTTAGTTGCCGTCTGCGCTGTTAATGTCTTCCTAGCTACTTTGCGCGGTAATCGATCTGGTAACGAGCTATCCAAAAGACCATCCGTTAGTCCGCTGATTGCCCGACTCATCGTCGCGATATCGCCGACGCATCGCGATGCAATGCAATATCATTAGTGAAGTGAGAGAGCCGCGCGCTTCGTTACTCTGATTGCCATGCGATGCTACTTAATTAGATTCTGTACTCCCCAATGGTACGCCATTCTCCTCTATAATACGCCAAGTTACCCCCTTCGTGTTGACAGGCGGATTATTACCGATTGAGAACTTCCAGATGTAGTTTGCGAGATTTTAATGACCTCTTTATATTACAACTCTTCTCTCTCTCTCGAGATGCGTACGAGCGTCCCGTGTCAAAGGAAGATTCACAAACGTTTGAAATAAATTTAATTCCATTGTTAAATCCTTAGAAAAAGAGATTTACAAGTAATATATATATATATATATATATATATAAAAGTTGAACTGAAACAAATTTTAAAATGTAACTTTTATCGAGTCGATGAAACAATCATCTACAACGAAAAGCCGAGAAAGAGGAGATTTTATTATGTCGTTAAATTAGGGCCTTTGTTAAGGCTAAAGTGATTTAGTGATAAAGCCAAGATTCGCGTTTGGCGCTCAGATTCGGAATCGACAACAAAGATGACTCACCAGTTCTCAGAGGCTTCCTCGTCGAGGATGGTCCCGTCAGCAAGTCGATGAGGTAAATTAGCCGCCGTACGCGGTCGGTTTCTGACCCTTGGTGGACCAACGACACCGGTTCTCGTCAAGCCAGCACGGAAGGACGCCCTTGCCCTGTCGACTGCTCGAGTCAACGTCATTGAGTCTCATTAGTACTGTTAGTAGTTAGTGTTAGAGCGGTGGTGAGTGAGTGAGAGAGAGAGAGAGAGAGAGAGAGAGAGAGAGGTGAGAAGCGCAGCACTTTGCATAACGTCGTCATCGCCAATGTCGCAAGAAACGCCGATTACGGCGGTGTTTTGCGGCGTCGATGTACGCGCACGGTCGTGTGTATGTGTGTGTGTGTGTGTAATTTTTATTATCCACAAGTCCTCTCTCCGACACGCGGCGCTAATGCACACAAAACATGCAGGGTAAACATGCGGGGGACGACGACGTGTGGAACGGAAACGTAATACCTGACACGACCAGTCTCTCTCACGGAGCGACATGCGCATGTGGCTAAGCTCAATTAAGCAATCTGGCTAAATCCCCCACCTTAAAGCTGATAATTACTCTGCGCGATAACTGCGCTACATTACTTAACATAATTCGATCGATAGCATCGCGAGAACATTATTCCTCTTTCTTGCGACTTGTTCAACGTGATTTTTCATTCAATGCGACGCACGCAAACGTCTTTGCAAACGTGCGCGCAGAAATGGCGTCTCCTTTTCATTAAAGAAATATATCCAATCGTACTTATGACAAAGATTATATATCACACGTCACACATTTGGTGCTGAACATTGACAATAATTGATACTTAATATCTCGGATTCTGTTGAAACGTTAAAATTCGTCCGACCGATATATACGCGCAGTCGGAAGCTAACGATCGGTTTAACCTCGTCAAGCCGTATCGTCACGCTCGTCTCATCGAAGGTGTCACCGTCACGTGTCACGTGTGTGAGCGCTGGAGAATGTGTTCGCAACGCTGCACGACAAGAATACTTCGTAAAGATAAGTCAGTCAAAGCCGGACTTTTAATTTGTCGTGTGACGCGCGGCCGGCGCCGTCTGGCACACAGATGACAGCAAAATGTGCCAATCTGCGCTTCTGTTCTATGTCGTTTGATTTCACGCCAGCCGTGTGTGCGGCCACTGAACTTTCCATTCAAATATTACGCCTGTCTTTGAACCTAGCTGATCAACCGGCGCTGAAGCTAAAACTCATCGACCTTTGACTTTAGTGAAAAAGGGATCGCGCATAGTATATATAACGTACGTGTACAAATCGCGTCAACGGATTTTACAGAGAAACGCTCGAAATGTAAGAGACATCTCGTCTTTACATATCGTCCCTGTGGGCGGATTTGAAGCTTCTTCGAGGTCAAGTAGATATATTCGATTCACCGAGTGAGAATATCGCGCGCCCGTCAAAATTCATCATCGTTCATCAATCGGCGATCGACTTGCCTGACGCGCCTGGTGCGACTGCACCAAAGCGCGTTGCAAAAATGCGATTATCGGGGGGAGGGAGGGAGAGAGGGAGAGAGAGGGAGAGAGGGAGAGAGAGAGAGAGTGAACGCGCAAACTGTTTGCTCGTTACGTTCAATTTCGACATGTAAATGCGTGCATGAGCAAAGGGGAGGAAAGAGAGTTTTACAACCACCACCGCGAAGCGCGACAAAGGAATTCTAATTAAAAAAATATTCGTGCCCAGGTGTGAGCATAGCTCGAGGGAGAAAGGGAAAAAAGGGTTACAACCGTTATCGCTCATCGTCAACGCCAATGTTGGAGAGAAAGAGGAGCGATGAAGAGGAGATGGGTAAAAAGCGCTGCCAGTGATTGAATACAGTGGCTGTAATCCTCCCGAGAGTAAGCTGATATCGATTGTTATTAAACGAGAAGACCCCCCACTCGCCGCGGCTCGACGTCTACCGGAATAATATGTTATTAGGATGCGAATAAATCGGGTCGTTTGAGCATGTGTGTGTGGTATCTCTATGTGTAACATCGATCTGGCTTATCAGCTACGTCGACTTTATACTGATTCAATAATAAAGAGAGGGGCACGGGATAGTTTATAAGAAGAAAATAGATGAAGACGAATATGGAGCTTGGGAATTGAAATACGGGACGGGTCAAAGTAAACGAGTTGAAATAAAATGTTCAAAGCGCGAACGGCTGTAGAGGTATGCAAGTAACAGATTTGCATGAAATTGTGTCCTAAACTTTCGAGACTTGATGAATTACAATGCAAACAAAACGTTGAGTTTTCCGACATGTAGTCGCACTCGATAAATATGTCTAATGATTATTAATTGCGCGACATCGGGCGATAGATTTATTCGGAGATGATGAATTACACCATATATCCGTCACCGTCAATATATTAATTACATTCTGACGAACCTACAGACGAATAGCCTAAGCACTCTGTGACGAACAATTTCAAACTCTGTACGAACTATCGATTACGGATTATATCGGCCTTTCAGGATTCCTGCGCATTCAGTTATATATAGGCGAGACTTGGACGAGTTGAGGCCGCATCGTGGAACGAATCGCTCAATTGTACGCAATTGCATATTAGTCGTGTCTTGAATCCAAAATTAAACGCGAACGTTATATTCCAGCGATATTCTTTTCCTCTCTTTTTTCCCCTTTTCTCTCGCTTCTCTCATCAAATATATTAAGAAAAAAAAAAGATATATATATATATATATATATATATATGAAACATCGATGCGCTGAATCTCTTAAACATTAAATCAGATATTAAAACTGTTTCCGTTTTTTTTTCTTCCTATTCAAATAAATTGCACGCGTATTCGCAGCGAACGAGATTCGAAGCTTTCGTGAAAAATAAAAGGCTGGTACAGGTTTTAAAATCGAAAGAGGATAAGGGAGAAAGAAGCAATCGCGTTCTCGGTTCACATTGATTTTCCTGCGTGCGTGACGCCCGTGTGAAAGAGGCATTTCCTCGAGGTAACGCTCTTACGCTACGCGACTTTCCGCCACGATCGATTTCTGTTACGGGTCTCTAACCATCAGCTGAGCTGCTTAGGGGGCGGATTATCAACCAGGAGGTAAGGTGCCTATAGCTACCTATTCGAGGGCATAACATTTATTACCGGGTCAGGGTTAACCGTTAGGCGCGCCACACACGTCCAGCGCTCTGCAGCGTCGTTCTAAAAATAGTTTCGCGAGCACTCCAGATATATAAAACGCGACCACGTGTCCCGTCTCCCCCGTACGCACATATGCATACATGCATATGCGTACACGCTCTAAATTGGCTCGGAAAGATGGCGAAAAATTCATAACGAAGCCTTCGATACGTCCGCGGATCGCTTTAATAAATAATTGGGCAGCTTTTGTATGAGAAAGCCATCGATAGAAAGATGGAGAGAGAGAGAGAGAGAGAGAGAGAGAGAGAGAGAGAGAGAGGGACCATCGCGTCGCGAAATTAAAAGAATAAGGAGACAAAGAAAGCGCGCGCGCGCGCGTATGTGTGTGTGTATGCATCGTTAATCAAGATAATTTACGATGAATAGCAATCACTTTTATGTACGAGTCTAATTAATTCGTTTGTTTAATCTCATATCTGACACGAATATATTCCAAAGTGCTGCAACACAAATCGAGCAATAAGGATCTCTCTCTCTCTCTCTCTCTCTCTCTCTCTCTCTCTCTCTCTCTCTCTCTCTCTCTCTCTCTCTCTCTCCCTCTCTCTCTCTAGTTATTATCAAAACACACACATGTTTCATCTCCGAGTTGACACATCTCTGTGTAATTTTAATTTTCATAATGAAACCGTAAGAAGATTACAAAGCACTGACGGGGACTTATGCGGAAGAGCAGCAGCAACACTTTCGCGTATCTCGCAAAGTACCGCCGCACCGACGAAGTCGGCAAGGTCCAATTACGGAGATATATCGTATTCGCGCGGAAATACGATCACGTGTGCATTAGCAGAGGCGTACGGGGATTTGTGGATACGGACAGTCGACGGCGACGACGCGATTCGCGAAAAGAATCCCCGAATCTCAATAAGGGAAACACACCTGTATGTAGATATGTTGTAGGCGAGCGCGCGGGAGAATGACAGAGCGAGGTTGTTACGACGCGCGCGATATAATTGCGCGGATGAAAGAACCTGTTTCCAAATTTCCGCATCGATTGTAACGCGGCTGCTCATTATGCGGATACACCTGACCTGAATCTATGCTCGTAATAATGATCGTCACAATGAGAGTAGCCTACGTGTGCCACACGTCCCACTTGTGAACGCGAGTCGGCGGCGGGCCGAATGTCAGCGGCGGCGATGTCTTATAACGGAGAGCGCGCAGCGGGCAGGAAATAATGATAGCGACGTTTAAAAGCCGCAGAAAGTTATATGTGTAGGAGGCACGAAATGTCTCGGATCGGAGAATATCGTGTGTAAACGTTGCGGGCGTTCGTAATCGTTTGATCTGGCCGCGCGCCGACGAGACCGAGGAATTCAACTGCGAAGAATCGGTCTGCAAATCGCACGCACATGCGCGTGCGCGTGACGCACGCGATCGACGGCAAAATTTCATTCCTTCTTTTTCCGTCCGGATTAAACAAAGTTTCTTTCTCGCGTCGGAATTTCGATACGTGTGCGCGAGAGCGAAAGCGACGAGCGAGGGCGAGAACCCAAGAGCTTGCCGTGACACGGAAAAGGCTGGAAAGCAGGCGCGCGCAATAGGTTTTGCGCGCGGAAATGTTGGGAACACCGCGGATTTTGCGGCGGACTTTCATGCGAAAACGCGCATTCGAACGCGCGCTCTCGCTCTCGCTCTCGCTCTCGTGCAAGCGCGTGCGCGTGCATCGGGACAAAGTCGACAAGTAGAACGAATAAAATTGGAACGTACAGCGTGTCGAGAGCCTGTTGTTGGCCTGACTCGGCGGCGGTATCGCGGATTGCGGAGGCGGTTGCGAGCTCAGGTCCTCGAAGTTTATGATTTGCAGGCAAATGTCGTCCACCTCGCTCCTTATTAGCGCTATGACCTCGCTGCAGAGGAACTTGGTTCCTGAAACAGGAAATTAGCAAGTCAGATACTCCTCGATCCTAAACCGCGTCGAGAACCTTATACACGTCCGTCGCCGTCGCCGTCGCCGTCGCCGTCGCCGTCGCCGTCGTTGGGTTCTCATCATAAATACGTATATATACCGGTGTTTCAACAACGACCCGCCGCGTAAAATTTAATTTGTCTATAACGCGATCCGTGTGTGTGTGTGTGTGTGTGAGATCCGGCACAAAGAACGATGCATCTGTCGATCTCAAAGATTCGTAGTGGCGAAACGATCGGTGAAAAGAGTGCTAACGATTTCTCCCTTTTTTTCTCGTTTTTCTTTTCTTTTTTGGTACAGGGACTCGCAACAATTTGACGCCTTTTACCGACGCATTCGTTTCTAATCGTATTTTTATATTTGTAAAAAAAATTGATTGAAAATTATTGGACGGTAACAAAAGAGTACACGCTCGTAAAATGATTCATCTGTCGAAATGATAAACTTATATGCGAGTCGGCAAATTTCTGCAAGCCTTCGATAAACGAGCGAGGAAAGATATCATCCGTCGCTTCCGAAAAAAGCAGCATCCTAACGAATAAATGGCCGACGTGTAAAAACTGATATACGAGTGTGTGTGTGTGTGCCTAAGGACGTTTGCTTCCCTCTCTCTCTCTCTCTCTCTCTCTCTCTCTCTCTCTCTCTCTCTCGCGCGCGCAGGATAAGTTGATATCTCGTAAAGTACGCGCAGCACCTGAAACGACTTCCGCTTGCACCCGATAACTCAAGCTCTCCTTGACGGCGCTTCGCGAGATCATCGCGGACGTCGATAGCACCTTCAGATGCGTGTCAAGGACTGCCGAGGGTAGCCGCGGCGTCGCGACAGTAAAATTTGGAAATACTGAGCCGTGAATCAAGAGAGAGCATAAACTATCCGGGAAATATACGCCGTGGCACGTACAAAACGCCGCGACCTATTCGCGCGCATGAAGCGCGCGAGCGGTGACTATCCGCCGCGATAAATATTCCAGATTGACGTTTACTGGATGTCTCTTAGACACCGACGGTCGCCGCCGCCGCCGCCGCCGCCGCCGCCGCCACGTCGTAGACGATATTTCACTTGCAGATAGGTGCGCGGTAGATAAAAGAGAGCCGATAGTAAAATTGCGAAACTTCCTATAAAGTCCCCTGGATCGCGCCCAAATAGTTTGTCCCGTCGGCGTGTCGTGGCAACGGTAATATCGTCGTAAACTTCAGATTGTTAGTAGAGTGACATAAAAGTTAGTCAAGTTGCCCGATAGGCGGCCCGCCCATTGCAATCTTGTTGCATTAAACGTCGCGCCGCGAATGTGGATGCCAAGTTTTATCGCGGCTTATGTACTCGTGAACGCGCGCGTTCTCGAATGGTGTCATAAAAAAAAATATCACACGTTTTATCTTCGACTTCATCCGCTGAGAGGAGTGCGAGCGCACGATACCGAGAACGTGTCAACCAGCCGCGGGGGAGGTTTCCTCTGTCGCGAAATTAAATGGGAAAATTACCATCACAAGGATGAAATTTAATCTGTCTCCCATATATCTTTTTCCGTCAGCGTTCCGCGGGACGAACGGCAAGCTCGGCGGGCTCTCGCTAATTGCGAGAGTTGCCTCGCCGCCAATGACAATGAGTCGGGGAGAAGGAATCCATAAGCGTACATAAGTTATCAGAAAAGCGTCAGTTGCCGCGAGTCGCGGAGAGTTCAGTTTCAATCTCGAGATGATACATGGCGCGAGCGAGCCGATCCCGAGGCTCGCGGAGGGGAAATAATGAGTCTCGCTAACGCGAGACGCTCGCTTGCCTTTGGCGCGTTTCGCCGACTAATTAACGGCGATGTTCGCTTCGCGGGACGCGGCGGCGGCGGCACACCTTGAACCTTGAGATTCAAAAGGCGGAAAGTCAGTGCGCGTCCCGTGTGTCCCGTAACGAAATATGCCCGGGCCTAACCGAAACCGTGCCAAGATTGCCACCTGGATATTCCATGGTGGACGTCATATCCGCGCAGCGTCAACAACTCTGATAAGATCCACATGTCCTATCGTATTACACAAGCTGTCGTTTAACTTTCGTTGTGCTACCACACAATGGAAAGCTTGTTTTTCGCCGTGATTAAACGATCGTATCTCACGCCGATCGATGTCACGGTCAAGGATGCTGCCGCCGCACATTTTCGGCGTTTTCCCCCTCTAAATATAGACGCGCACCCCCTCCCCCCATCCCCCATCCCACACGATCATTCGGCAAAACGACGATCGCAGTACGATGTGTGCTACATCCCGTCGTGTACGACGCACAGGAAAGAAAATGAGACGCTTCGACGCTTAGCGTCTGTCTCTGTCGTTTAACTCCGTGAAAATTATGGCAATGTTTGAAAATGTTGCTAAATGCACTTTTATTATTATTATTATTATTAAAAAAACCGTAATTATTTCCTCCTACATAAGCGCATTTCTCGCGCACAGATACTTCTGCTTCTACCAGTTTTAGCGTTGCGATGAGATTCGACTTTACTTCCGTAACTCCGTAACTAAATTAAATAAGATATTTCAGACGACCGCTCCCCGGCCGATTTTCCCCGGAAAGCCCCAGTCGTGCCGTTAATTTTCCAGCTCGCACCTCACGTATTGTTAACGCTTAAAGCGGCCGATACGTGTGGTTTCTTCAGCACAACGTCACGGCAAGCTCTGCTGTCTTATCGATCCGCCACAGCGCGTTCTTTCTCCCTCTCGCGCTTTCTCTTTGTCTCTCTGCCATTTGTACGTGTGTGTGTGTGTGTGTAGGGAATCACTCATGTCGGTGAGTCACGCATAGAACTGGCTTTTGAAGTCCGCTTGAAATGCGAGCGAAATCGTCGCACGTCGCGCTCTCGAAAGCACGCTCGTCCGCGACTCGCGATGTCCTGTGTAAATGCGTTTCGCTACGTGAAAGGGAACAAGCGTGCGCCCGTAGAATTTCAAGCGATTCGATGATGTAATTTCACATGTGATGATTATGTCTAATCTAAATGTTAGAACCGCCGCGGTCTTAACTTTATCCGTACCGTGCTGTGCTACGTTAAAAAAAAAGAGGTCGCAGATAAAAGCCTACATCCGTTCGATCGGACCAAAGGAGCTTTGACCACGCCAATCAACGGGAGATTTTCACTGTTTTTGACATTGTTATGGCGCGTTTGTTAATCCAGAGGGATAACAAAGCTGTGCAGCACATGCACTGTCTGTCTGTCTGTGTGTCGGCGTGTTACGTCGATGCGTCGATTTGTTTGCCGTACGCGCAATTTCAAGAAACAATTCGATCCTTATATCACGGGATCACAGAGTCCTGGTTTTATTCTCGTTCAAATAAAAGGACACTTTTATTGGAATCGCAGCTTAGCTTCGTTAAGAAGGGATTTCAGACCGAGGCGCGTGTCTACTTTGGAATTTCGTTCGGAATATAACGACTGTTTTGCTGTGTCGAACGGTTTTGTCCACGAATGTGAGAAATTGCTCCGACGGACACAATTCTCCTCTCGCTCCGATTAGAAAGAAATGCAGCCGGAATAAAGATTGATGTGTCAGAAAGCGCGAGATTTTTCGGCGATACGGTACCGTTGGAAATGGGAATTAAACGATATTGCTGAGAACAGCATTTCCCACTTCGGCATGGCAGATAAGGCGAGGGACGGCTGTTTTATCTCCGCGCGGTTCCGGTCCGAACCGGTCACTACGACAGACGTTAAAGATCCGTCCGCGGGTGCGAAAGAAAAAGAGAAAGAGAGAAAGAAAAAAAGGGGGGAGAGAGAGAGAGAGAGAGAGAGAGAGAGAGAGAGAGAGAGAGAGAGAGAGAGAGAGAGAGAGAGAAACGACCGAGCCGAGAGCTCGGAGATACTGCAGCAGCTGATTTTACGAGGACGATGTTTTGAAAACACGCGCGCTCGTAAAACGGCCGACAGTAAAAGCGGCCGTACGCGGAGTAAATTTGCGCGGAATGAAGTGCGCGCGCACACACCGCGCCAACTTCTTTTTTCCCTACGCACGGCATAAACACTGCATCATTAGACATTGGAAAGAAGTGACGCCTCCGATATGTTCCGCGCTGCTAGGCTCGAAAGAGCCTGTTGGAATTTTCATAAAATTAATTAAAATTGTACTCCACCACCACGAGAAAATATGAAGAATATGAATGAGAAAAAGCATGATTACGCTTGTGCGGAATATCAGATCAGAGTACGCAAGCACGAGGTACGCGATTGAACTACGCAGAGCCCGCCGGGGCTGGGGCGGGGATGTGTCCGCGCACATTAACAACGGCACTGCACCGGTGAACGCGCATTAAACCCAGTCATTCGCTATCGTAAATTCGTCAATATTAATATACGGCGCGACATAATCCTCGTGACGATCGTAAAAGCCATCGATAGCAAATTGCCGTCGACGGATCAATGCGAGCCCCGTATCCGCATGACGTGTCCTATCGAAGCTTGGCCCATCGAAACAGCCGTATAATAATCGCGTCAACTGGCCAACAGATCCGAAGCTCGTTATATACCTCGACCTCATTAGCTCTCTCTTCTTGCGCATACAACGCTCTCTCAGAGCAGCTGAAGAATGATTATCGGGGATAATGACGGTTGATTGCTCCTAGTCTTAAATGTATACTCGTAAATCTTGCACGAGCAAGCGCGAGCAAGCGCACGCGTATTACGCGTCTGTAATAATTACACCGACACTTTTGTCAATAGGGATCGTTGAGACGTTGAAGAAAGCAGAAGAATCTGAATACTGAATTTTATCCGTCTAATATGGGGGTGGGGAAACAGCTTCGCCGGGGAATCAGACCGATCCCAGACCGAGACCCTAGAGAGGTGCTAGAAACAGCTGGCGGGCAGATAACGGAGACCGCGAGAACAAAGATCCCTCGCGAGCCAATGCGGATTTTGCGGAATCTTGGTCGAAGTACGCGAGCCAATCCGCAGAAGAATGAGGAGAGGAATCTTCTGCCCGG